CTTAACGATACCAGTTTAACTTAAGCACCACATTTATGGTCTCTTAAATCATTTAAGTGTTAAATTCTCAAGCCTAGAAGGATGAATTTGAATTCCCTTTGACTTTCTTCCAATTTCTCTTTCTTTTCTCTTACTTTCTCTTCTGGCTTTCAAAGCAAAAAGTTTCTATCTTTCTCTGTGCCTCTCCATCCTTCTCTCTTTTGTTTCGGGAACAAACTAGTTTGCACCCCTAATTGTTTCATTTGCTAAAGTGGCCAAGTTTAACTTAAACTAATCTTGCTTAACCTCTCAGAAAGAGAATTTACTGAGTCATTGTAGCATAATAATCATAGTTTAACATTAAACACCTCATTTAAGTTTTCTAAAATCACTTAAGCGTTCAATTCTCAAGTCTAAAACGATAAATTTGAGTTCCCTTTAATTTTCTTCCTATTTCTCTTTATTTTCTTTTAACTTTCTCGTCTAGCTCTCAGGAAGATAGTTTCTCTCCAACTTTTTCTGTGCTTCTCCATCCTTCTATCTTTTGTTCTAGGAAACTAATTCGCTTGGGACCCTAATAGTTCCATTAGCTTAAGTGGCCAAGTTTAACTCAAACAAATCTTGCTTAGCATCTAAGAAAGAGAATTTACTGAGTAATTACAACTTAACGATATTAGTTTAAAGTAATAAAATACTACAAGTATGCCCAATCACTCAATGCATAGACAAAAGATTACCATGCGTAAGCAAGTTGTGACTCCTTATATTCGTTCTCAACATCAATTGGCTGATATTCTCACCAAACCTTTGGCTCAGTCTTTATTTCATCGCTTATTTGTTAAGTTGGGCATGTTTGATCTCTATGCTCCAGCTTGAGGGGAAGTGTTAGAATAGTTATTTATGTTCTGTTGCTAATATTTACTTAAGTTGAGGGTACGACGATCATATTGCAATATTAGGGTTTGTATATATATTTTGCTAATGTATTAATGTAAGATATATAAAAATTCCTTCCTCTTCTCTTTTCTCTTCTTCTTCCTAATCCTAATAAATTTCCTCATTTTACATTCTAACTACGGTGTTTACATTCAGCTTGACCATTTTAGATAAGTGTAGAAGTTTGGTGAATGGTACCAAAATTGGCTAAATATTTACAGAACTCGAGTGTAACGGGTGCAGTCATCAACAAATGAAACATATAGTATGCAAAACCCCGTTCAGTGAGAATAGGAGAAGGATCCCAAACATCAGTATGAACTAAAGAAAATGATGTATCAGATATAAAGGTACTTTTATGGAAAGGTAAGGATGTCATTTTGGCAAGTTTACGCCTTCGACACTCGGTAAGTTGACTAGAAGAAAGTTTACCCAATACACCTGACTAAGCTAAAGACTGTAACCGGTCAGCAGACAAATGCCCCAATCTAGAATGCCACAAATAGAAAGGACTTGACGAAGAATCTAACTGAAAAGAGAAAAAGCAGTCTGAGAGGTAGCCATAGGCAGATGTAGGCTCTCTCCACCACATACAGGTCTCTAACTCCATAACCAGTCCCAATCCACTTCTTGGACATCCAATCCTGCATAGAATAGATAGAAGAAGATAAGATAAAGACGAAATCAGAGGCATCAAGCTGACTGATAGGTAATAAATTGATAGATAATTAAGGAACATAAAGGACAGATGGAATAGAAACATCAGACATAGCAGACAGCAAGACAAATCCAACAGATATAGCAAACATACCAGACCTATTAAGAGGGGATTAGGTTGAGAGCTTCTCTCTCTAGAATATAGAGAGAGAAAGCTCCCTCCGTTGTTACCCCTGGACTTTTGAGGGTTCCTTATCAGATTCTTTGTCTGATTTGGGTGTTACTGTGTTTGTTACTGAATCTGGTCTTATTTTTTCCAGATTCAGGAGGTTTTGAAGCTATTTTGGATCGTTGACGTTGTGAAGATGAAGTTCTGGTGTTTGTTTGGCCAGTTGTTTTAGCTCCTATACTAATATTTGTGTGTTAGTGAGCTTGGGTTCCAAGTCCGGTTATTCACCCAAAAAAAAGGGTTCCAAGTCCGGTAGCTCCTGGTGTAGGAGTGGCCAGTTCTGGTCATTATCAGTCATAGTGTTGTTGGGCAATTTATCTTCTTTTCTGTTTCGTGGAGGTGGGCTTGTCGTTTCATGGCGATGGGTTATCCGTGTGATTGGCTTAAAGAAGGTCACCCTTCCATGTTCAGTTTCTGCAGTCGTGTCGTGTGCTGAAGATCCTATCCTGTAGGTGTTGCCGCCAGAGATATGGGGTGGTGGTTGCTAGTGCATAGGGTTTTTTGAGTTACATGGGTTCTGGGTGCTAGTTCGTCCAAAGTTTCGACGCTGTTGATGGTGCCTCGGTGCGCTACAGTTGTTACATGTAAACTTTGCTGAAATTACTCCGGTGCCATTGTTAATGGCATTTGGAGGTGATGTCTGCTAGTCACGCGCTGCTAAGCTGGAATGGCGTGTTCAAACTCATGCTTACACAGTTTGGTGGGACGTTGTGATGTGTATCGTGATGTGTGTGATGCGTGTTGCACGGGTTTGTCTAGACCGTGCTAGCTACAATCAGTGAGCTTCTGTTTATGGGGAAGACAAAAAGTGGGTTGGCATGAATGGTTCAATCCTCACGTGGGAGGCCGTGTACAAGTTGGTGGTAATTTCAATTTGGAAAGGGTCAGTGCCCACGTGATTGCTTTGTTTATTGGTTTCAATATATATATTATTATACATATTTTAGTGCCGAGTTCTTTATGGCCGTGATTTTGAGTTGGTGTGTGTAGACCCACGGTGGTTATTTTAATTGATTTTGAGGAAGTGGGTGGGCCCACGATGGACTTTCTTTGTGGGTTTGGTTGGTGGGCCCGTGATATTATTTTATTGTGAGTTAGTGGGTCTTTGGGTATCAGTGGGCTCTTTGGAGCTTCTGCTGAAATTGGTTTGTAAAGGTTTTTATGTGGGCCCGGATTTATTTTGGGCAGGTTTTTCTTGGGGGCCTCTGTGGTGAAGATTTGATTATTAAATGGCCTTGTTGAATTGAATTTAATGGGGATATTATCAAATGAGCCCACTATTTTTTTAGTGGGTTGGTGATTTATTATTTTTGGACATCTAAATGTGGGATTGCTAAATTTGTTTAGTCCATGGATTCTGCTATCTACTACATTTGATTTTTTCGTTATTTGGTTAATGATCCGTACATATTCATGTGTTTTGGCTTAGAGCAGTTCTCTGACCTCTTCTGGTGTGGAGTGAGGGGGACATTGTCATGGGGAATTGAGGTGTGCAATTTGCCATTGCTGGAACTGGGAGATGTGTGGTGAGTTAATTGGATTTTGATTGGCTCTTTTGTGTGAACAACATTTTGCATGGGCAATGCTTCTATGGTGCTGATAAATCCAAGTGGGTGAGTGGTTTTGTTTTGGAAATAGGTGGGCCTTTAATTTATTTTTTATTTTTTTTATTTTGGATTCTAACTTGGTAACTCAATTTCCTACCATCAATTCCTTCCATTCTTGTTTTACAACTTACGCCAACAGCCCTAGCCCCTACTCCTATATTTTTTTATTTTTTTTGGGTGAATAAGAAATAATATAAAACAGAAAGATTTACAAAACTACAAGGGGCATACCCCAGGCCCTAACAACAGAAAACAACACGAGCCTCAGCCCACAGGCACCGAAGCCCAAAGAAACACAAACAATAAAAAGACCAAACCTAAGAGCTACATCCGAAAATAAGGAGAGCCAAAAGAAAAACTTAGCCAATCGAACTATACAAAGGCCATATCCTGTGATGAATAGGGACCTTGTACAAAGGACAGACCAGCAACCAACAAGCACCATAACAACAGTCTAAAAACTCCCTACACAACCCGTAGGGATGGGCATCATCACACCCACAAAGTCTCCCTACACAACCCGTAGGGATAGGCACCTGTAACAAAATAAATATAATACAAAAATAGTAACCCAAGCAAACCGAAGTGATGAACCAAGAGGGGCCCATCCTACCGAATTGCTCAAAAAACCTGTTACACGAGATACCAAAGTACACATGAAACCTCCTACACAACCCGTAGGAATAGGCAAACTGCAAACTACAACTGTGAACAAATAAAAATAAAAAGAAAGACCACTGATTAGCTCCCATTAGTAGCATAGCAAGGCGCTTAAAGCAGCCATCACTATGGTACATACACACCCTGCCGACAGCCACCCAAATCTGAACAGCAGTCAGCCACCACTCCTCCACAACAAGAGAGAAATAAAAGAAATGAAGATAGCTTATGAACCCACTGAAGTGCCTAGGCAAGGCGCAACTTGCAGCCATCACCGAAGAGTAAATCCACACAGCGAACAACGCCAAAGAGGGGCGCTGATTGCAGCCACCTTCACACCACCCGGCAAACCCCGACACAGATTGCTGCCAATGCCCAAAGATAGTCACCAACAGCAAACTTCTTGCAGCCAAAGCCCCAATCCAATAACCATCCGAGATAAACTGCCAGGAGCAATCCCACCTTACAAGTTGCTGCTTAACCTGTTCAACATATAATAGAGAGGAATTTCCATAACAATATATTGAGTCATACAGAAGAAGAAACAACAAGCACTCAGTATAGGACCTCCCCTCACTCGACCCACAATAAAAGAGAGCTCTCCACTCAAAGTAAGGGCTCCCATCACTCGGCCCACATATACAGTGCTCTCTCATTCCAACCAGCTGGACAATGTACTTGAGATTCCTTAGACCTGCACAAAAATATATATAATATATAGTACATGTTAGTTTAAAAAATATATACTTCCTCCCCCCACTCAACCCACATTTACAAGAGGAACTGTACTGGCTCACATCACTCAACCCTCCCTTCATAGGCTCTAGATTTTGTGAATATTTGGGATCCATAATAGCTGATAGAATCTGAGAGTAACATCATCTGCAAGACAGCACAAGTTGTTAGACAAAACACTCCTTATCTGCTCACCATCACTCAACCCTCAATGTAGGATAATTCACACCACTCAAATTCCTTTCAGCTGCAGCAGTTTGGGACTGCAATAGGATTTTAGAAGGTAGGTTCCATTGTTCCAAATACCAGTTGTCACCTGCATAAGCTTTCACATTTTCCATAGAAAGGAGTCTACCCCTAACCATTTGGATGATAGAGTTAGTGACAACCTCTTCAGGTTTGAAAACCTTACTAAAGATTCTACTATTTCTCTCCATCCAGATGTGGTAGATAGTGCAGTGAAAAGAGAGTTTCATAATCATACATTTCAGAGATTTACCATTGATTGATGTAGTAGCAAACTCAACAAGTTCCAACCAAGGCAAAGAAGGCCAGTGGGAATTACACTTAGCTTGGATAACAGCCCAAATCCTAGAGGAGTAGTGACACCTAAAGAACAGATGGGAATGGTTTTCCTCAAGGGCACAACATAAAGGGCAGCTAGGGCTCATAAGAAGACCAAAGATTTGGAGTCTATCCCCAGTGTTAAGTCTCTCATGGATAGCCAGCCACACAATGAAGCTAACCCTGGGGATAACAGGAGGACCCCAAACGAGATTAGACCAAGTAACCTTTGGGCCCTTGTCCCTCCAGCATTCCCAAGCAGAGTGAATAGAAAAGGAACCATCAGCAATCAAACTCCACACAGGAATATCAGGGGAATCAAGGGAAGGTTTAAGAGACTTGTTCACTCTTCCTATTGCTAGATTATAGGAATGGTGAACAGGTTGTTGGCTTTTGTTCTGTCCTCTGTATAGCTGTGTTAGGTCCTGGGGTATGCCCCTTGTAGCTGTGTAAATTTTCTTGTTTTATTTATCTCTTATTCACCCAAAAAAAAAATTGAGATAATAGAACTAACCTTAGAATTGCCAGGAAGGTTGGTATCATACAGAATCCTAGAACCATACCGAAGCAAGAGCGAACCAAAGGGGTGCCAGTTATCATGCCAGAGGAAAACATTTTCACCATTACCAAGTTTGAATTTGATAATAGGGAAGATTAAATCCCTAAGCGATAAAAGTTTCCTCCAAACCCAGGATGGATCACTGGGCATCTTAATACCCCAAAAACTCTTACCCTTTAAGTAAGTAGGACTTAACCCATTGACACCACATTGAACATTCCCCACCCGAAAACAAATACCAAACATGTTTGGCTATAGCCGCTTTATTCCAAACCTCCATATCCTTAAAACCAAGCCCACCCTCATTTTTTTTTTTTGCAAACATGCTTCCAAGCAATTTTAGCACTATGCTTTTTCAGATCCGTCCCAGACCAAAGGAAAGATCTGAGCAGATTTTCAATGTCGCGGATAACCCTCTTAGGGAGAATAAAAATAGAAGACCAATAAACTTGCATCGAGAAAAGAATAGACTGGATGAGTTGGGCTCTACCAGCATAAGATAGCAATTTATTGGTCCAGCTTTTGATCCTTTTAGTCATCCTATCAACCAAATAGAAAGCAGCCAGCCTATAACCATACAGAGCAAACGGCCTTCTAGGATCCTTCCTACACAACCCGTAGGAGTAGGTTCCTAAAACGTGAAGCATACACAAAAGAAGACGACCATGAGCCTTACGGCAAATCCCAACCAAGCCCATTACAAATTCCTTATAGGAATGACAAAAATATAGCATCATTAACTGCACAAAAACCACCTACACAGCCCGTAGGGGTAGGCAAAATTAAATAAAAGAACTATGTACACACAATAAAGAAGACAACTATTTTCCTCTTTCATGTAACACAACAAGGCGCTTGGAGCTGCCATCACTTCGTTACAAACACACTCTTCAAACGGCCAACTGCACCTACACAAGAAACAACCAACATCCCTCCAAAC